GAACGGGTTCTTGAGCAGCCATGTCATTCCTTGGAACGTTCAGGCTTTTTAATCCACTGATTGGTGATGAAAGATAGAACTCATAGGCACCCCTGATTTTTGTTGTTCACTTTCCTCTATGACTTCACTTCGCTTCGTTCGTTCCTCCGCCCTACCATCATTCCCTGGTGATGGATTCAAAACTTCCTTCTCGGATCAAGGGCTTTCTCTTCTGCTTTTTCTTACCGGATACTGAAAGGGAAGATAACAGAAGGCGGTGGCTAGGCTAGATCTCCGTAGGCGGTTACCTTTCCTTTGCAGCAAGCGCAATCCTCGCAGCGCGCTATACGCTAGCGCTTCTTTGGGTAAGGAGATTTTTGTATTCTTCTTCCTTACCAGATTCCCCTTTCCGGGTCCAGCTCAACTTAGAAGGGCCCGTGTACTCAACCAGAAAGATTCGTGCATTTAGCATATATCTAATATCGAAAAGGTCGTCGCAGGCAAAAACATCCGAAGCCAGACTGGTTTCGGAGCTAGAAGGCACATCCATATTCACGTCCGAGCCCTATAAAGTCAAGGGCCCGATTCCAGATCCGAAGCAGCAGCCACCGAAGAAGGAGCAGCTCAATTGGTTTTTTATTCTATTCTTCCACTGGCACCGACTTCTATTCAATAGACAGCTATAGAATAGAAAGAGGATCGGAGCCCATTTCCCCAGTTGACGAGGTTCGATGTAATTGACGAAGCGAAGCGAAGTGAAGGAAAGGTTTAAAGATCTCGACTGTGAAGGAGAGGGATAGTAAGGAATTTTTATCTACGATTACTACAAAAACGATTCCTCCCACGGAGAAAAGTGCCAGAAGGGAACTCGATCGCGAAAGGTCTATCTATTCTGTTCATCTCGATTTGGTTTTGAGTTCTTCCAGGCCCCGACTACTAATTGTGCCGTTGGGCACCCTTGCGGAAACTAAAGCACCAACTGCTTGCTTTCCTTCCACATAACGAAGTGAGCCCACAGAAAAACCTGACAAAGAGAATCTACTATAGTAAAGGCCAATTGTCACTGAGATCACTTCAACCAGCGCAGGTTAGGGTCGATGTAATTGAGCAGGAACACAGGAGAACAACCTATATCAAGGATGGTAGTTGACTAGCACTCACAAGAGGGCACTGATGGGATGAGTTCCTTGATTGACTAGTCAAGAGATTCTCCGGAGAGCTATTACTTTAATTCGCTTTTCAGATCCTTGAGCCGAGAGCTGAGCTGAAATTGGGCCGTCCCTCGAAGGTCTTGCTGCCAGGACGCCTGTATTGTAGGCAAGAAGTCCTCGTGATCAGTCCACATGTTGAAAAATCTCCAAGGTACAAACGAAGCGAAGCGAAGTGAAGTCACCTTGGAGAGAAGGCAGGGGAGAAGGGAAAGAGGTAATAAGCAGCATGTGCCTCGCTTACCACCCTGGAAGCCCGGTCTTGCTGCTTACCAGTATTTCATACTTGACGTTGCCGATTCTCTTCCTTATCGCCTGGTAAAGCCTCCCTATGTTTATGTTGTTGATTCGTCAAAGTATATTGTCATCGTCCTGAACTTCCGATACCGATACACAGCTGCAGGAGAACGAAGTCAGTCTCGACCAAACAAACTTTTCGAAGCGAAGTGAAGTAAAAAGTAGTAAAGCGTAAAACTTTCGCCGGACTCTTAAGCCTTTCGGGTGAGCGAAAAGATGTATTATGCATGATATCCAAACCACACATTACCCATCTCCTCGCCAAAAAGGCCCTTTCGCATGCTTCCTTTCATCTTTTTAGGAAAGATGTCAGTTGCGGCCTTTAGGTCAAAGGTCAATTATATCGAGCCTTATGACCCTTAAGCCGACGGAGAGGAGCGAGTTGGTCGAAAGTCCCATCGGTCTCTAGTTCTTTGAGAACCGACATCGTCCAGTCATGCAGCGGCTTCACCAAGCGCTGCAGGATAGGACTAGGGATAGCGAACACTCGCACCTTACCCGCACCCTCCAGCTTCAACCCGAAAGGCCCCGCTTCCGGTCTCGTCTTGGTACTACTCCACCACACTGATTGTGCGGGTAGGAGGAGATTCTCAATTAGAGACCTAAACATCCTTGAGTCGATGCTGCTTTTTGGGATCGGACCGTCTCCACCATCTGTGAGCAAGAACTCACGAGGTTCGTACAGCATAGAAAAAATAAACGACAGCATCTCTGGTTTCCATAGAGAAATAAGAGCAGTGGCGTCTAAAGGTAGTGTATGGTATATAGATAATGAATATCTATTACCACCCCCTTGACCTCGATCGCTTAATCCTATTAACCTGGTTCCACATCCAACCTCTCCTTTCGCTAAGAGTTCAATGTAATCAAACCTCAACTTTCAGTCGAGCTATTTCGTGCACCCTACTCCCACTTGAAGAGGCAGTAGGAGATAGATCCATTCCTTCCACTTCGTTAAGATTTGGTCTTTTTGTCTGGCAGAAGTTTATGAACACAGTTCAAATACAAGAAACCAATGGGATATCTTGCACCTGAGTATGTTTATTCGGCCCACCTAGAAGACAGATGTTTACAGCTTTGGTGTGGTAGTGTTAGAGGTGGCAACGGGGATAAGGCCTAAGCATAAACCTCTTCAAGCTTGCCTTCCCGAATTTCTACTCAAAGGCAAAAGCTTTAGTTCTTTCTTTTCTTTGTTCCTTGGGTCCCTAGGGAATATCTTTCGCTTTTCTTAGTTAGATTGATCCTATCTGCTTCTTAGCTTAGTCGAAAGCTAGAGATTGATTGCCTTTCACTCGAAGTCAAGCAAGTTTCCTATATTAATAATAAGGCAAGCCCCTTTTAAAAAAGCTTCTATGACTGAACTTCGCTTCGAAAAGTTCGTTGGGGAGAGGTAATTGACGTTACATCTATCTTTAAGTCTGATTCGGATTCAGCTCCTTCGATGAACTCGGCTATTGCTGAAAGTTCACTTCAATAAGACTGTGAAAGACTTCTCGCCTAGAAGGAATCAGTCTGAAAGGGGGGTGAAGTGACGTGGGGCCGTCATCACGAGACCAATAGGGCGGAATTGAGAAATCTCCGTTGGCCGGTCCTTTCAGTTCTAGGATAAAAACAACGACTACATCAGAAGAAAAGACACCTGCTACCGGAACCGGATCCCGTTGAAGTTTACGAATAGAGTCGGTCTAACGCAACCCAACGAGTTATTATTATTCAATAGCAGCCCCTTGCCCAGCTGGGTCGAGGTACCATGCCTTCTCCTTGACAGATGGAGTTCGAATGATGAGAAAGTGCGATACCTACTTTAATGGGAAATGCGATATGACCCACCTTGCAATGTTCTAAGATGATGCTTCTGGAAAGCGGAATTCATAGAATATGCTAAAGAAAAAGTTAGCCTTTCACCTTCCTTTCTGGGTACGTGGGTCTTAGCCTGCCGGATATAACTCAATCGATGCGGTTCGTCCCCTTCCTCCAGCCCTTCCAGCGCTTCTGGATGACCCTTCGTACCCGTATTCATCATTCTACCTCCTCCAGGTCCGCGGATCTCCCTTCCTTCTCCGAAAGAGAAGACTTCCCACTTTAGACAGGGCAATTCCTTACTTTCACTTCATAATCTGGTACTTCACCTAGGGAATCCAATGAAAAACGTTAGGCTTTTCAACTGGGCCAAGGGAAAAGAAAAAAAAGGGAGAGAATGAAAACTTTCACTTCGGAAGGAGGAATGGGTAAGTAGAGTTCCCACTGCAGCAGTTTCCGAATCAGGGATGTTAAAAGTACACGCTTTTGTCTCAGAATTAGACCCATTTGTTACCGTTTTTGGAATAGTTGGGGCAAAAGAGTAGTCCCCCTTGGAAATGTAATAAATAATAGGCTGCTCCGAGCTCGATCTGCTGTTCCGGCAAGCAGCCCTTTCGCTCGTTCCCTTGGGGCTTGGGCCAACCTGTTCCATATGAGCAGCAGGAGCATAAATACGTGAAAGAAAGCGTGCCCCCGTGTTCGCCAACTCTCATGTAAGGGGCCCACTTCCCTTCACACTATACCTTCCAGAGTGATTATTGAATATCCTGTTGAGTGGGTTTGATGCTAAGCATTAAGAAAACAATACAGGGAAGGAGCTCAGCCTCAATGTAATCGACCCAACAAACGAAGCGAAGCGCAGTGAAGTCAAAAGTAGTAACGAAATATGGTAGGAATTTTGAAAATACTAGATATGTATAAAAAAGGAGGAATGTGGAAAGAAATGAAAACGAAAGAGTTGGTGTCGCACGTACTGATAACTCTATCCCGCGCTGAAAGCGAGAGGGACGGACGAAACTATGCTTCACCCACTTTAGTGGTTGAACGGCTGAAAGCTACCTTCCACTTATCTTTCTGATTGACTGCAGTTTCCATGCTTGTTTTTGCCACTCCTTCCATAGACCGGGGCTGCTATTCTTATATTTGATATTCGGGTTACCCTGTGCGCTAGTTGACTATCCAATATTAGCCGACCGACGGATGGGCTCCCTTAACCTTAAGGGCGGAGCTCACCAACTGGGTGGCGTGGAAGGGGGATATTTAGCTATGTGCGGGTAGAGCTGCTCCTGCTCAGTTGGGACCCCCACTGGATATCCACATTTATCCCCTAGAGCTGCTGTTCATTCCTCCCCCATCGGTTGAGTGTTTTCATTCCCCCTGGCCTTATTGGAAAGTCTCAATTACATCGACCCAACGAACGAAGCGAAGCACAGTGAAGTCATAAAACGTCAAGTAACTTAACGTACCTTTCCCGATGGAAAAGCATCTTCGAACGGTAAGACTTTTTCTTCCATTCCCGATGGTCAAGCATCAAACCTTAGGTTTTTCCCACCGGTCTTAACAGTCGACTCAATTGCATCTGCATCCTTCCTTTCAGGTCGAGCTAGGTGAACTTCCGGTAATAAATACAGAAAAGAACGTAGTCCCCGCTCACCGGTAAAGAAGCTTTTTATGCCGTCTCGCTACTTCGCTCCGGGAAAGCAACTAAGAAGGCTAGCAAGTCTACCTTTTAGCCGACAGTTTGAGAGGAGATTGGCCGGTGGTAAAGTAAAGGTTCGATATAATTGACCTAAGCTGGTCAAGCTACTTAAGTATTCAGCCTTTCCAACTAAACTAGGTACCTCTCGCCTTGCTCGACTAACTTGCGCTCCTTCGTAGACGATCTGAGAAATGCAATTCTGTCGCTGTTCAATCCCATTTGAGAAATTCCCCATTCGTTATCACTCAAGCGTCTTCAAACCTTTCCTGAACAAGCAACGGATTGAGCAACTAGCGCGAAAGCCGTTGCGCTAACGCGCATCCGTTTTCTTGCTGCTTCGAAAAGTTTGTAGGGTTAAGAAGGCTCCACGACAGAGGAAGCAAGCAACCATGAGTTGGATGCCCTGCCGCTTGTGAGGACTGCTTTCAATCAAAAGGAGATGAAGAGATAAGGGGCATAGTCAATCTATCTTCCCTAGCATTTTATCACATCAGCAACAGCTCGCCTTCTTTCCACACTGCTGCACCCTGTGGTAGGACGTGCCCTGTAAGAAGGAAAGTTAGAAAGGTAACCGCTTTCGTAGCAGCTCTTACCCTATCTGCTCTTGGTCTTCTAACCGGCAATTTCCTCATCATAAGAGTTATCAGGGCTAGGGCTGTCATCCCGGTGGCCTATCTGTTGGAAAAATCTGAGCTGTGAACGTAGGAACGAACGAAGCGAAGCGAAGTGAAGTCATAGAACTTAAAGAGGTATGAAATAGATAGGCCCTTAGGAATCTCTTTGGCTTTTTCCTCTCTGCGCTGCTTGGCTCCTTAAGCCGACTCCCTTGCTTTGTCGCCGGCTCAATTACATCGACCCTGACGGTTAGCTATTATCTTATAGTAAGATAGATAAGATGGCGGGAATTTCTCTCTTCAATATCTCCCGCAAAGAAAGCGAATAGAACTCTTGAAGGCACCTCTCACAATTCGATAGGGCCCTACAGAGTAGAATATAGTCAGAAATATAGGTACTCAGAGGATGGGCCGATTGCATTCACTCAATCCAATGCAGATAGAGATCAAGCCACCCGGGTCAGACACTAGATCAGACTGGAGATCTCCCTACTTGAATCATAAGCGTCTTCGATCAATCGCGTCAAAAGAATAAGCTAGTTGTGCTTTAATATAGGCCTGCTGAGGCCCACGGAGCGGTAAGAATCGATTCAAATAGTTAGGAACCTTTCTTCTTTTCTGTATGCTGGTCTACGCCTATCCTTTGCCTTTTGAATCTAATACCCTGTTTTCCAACCAAGGAGTTGGCTTCCGTCTCAGTCATCTCGAATCTTTCATCCAATCTGCCACAGCCCTTTACTTACATACTCCAAGCAAACCAACCATAATTATTAAAAGAAGGAAGAAAGCACACAACTGAACCTGCTATTTGGCGTCCTCCAACGGAACACGGGTGCATGTATCAAGGTCAATGTCGATGCTGCTAAGTTACTCAGTTCAAATGCAGCTGGATTTTGCTTGATCGTCGGGATGGTGGTGCCAAGACAATCCGCAGTTTCAGGCTCGTCAATGGAGGGCGGTTAGATATGGAGTTCTTTTTGCATTGGAAATGGGATTCCCAGATGTAGTTATTGAATCTGCTAATACGATAAGACAAAAGAAGGTTCTTAGATACAAACGAAGCGAAGCGAAGTGAAGAAAAGGAATAGTAAGGACAGAGACTTGTAGAACGAAGCGAAAGTAAGTGTAAGCCAAGTTGAATAAGGTAGTGGTTGTGTACACTATCTTATTTTTCTTGTCTTGATTTTTCTTTCTAAGTGTAGTAAGGCAGCGCATTGTATTTCCCTCTATAGGGTGCCTTAGGGGTGGGGAGTAGCTAGCCAGGTTGAATATCAAATCCAAGGGCTTTCTTCTTTGCTAAAGAGAATGTCAAACCTGCAAACAGAAGGCATATTCTAGCTCTTTCTCTTCCCTTTGGACAGCTAGCTTATTTATATGGGGGGTTGCTTTATTCTTTCGATTCTGGGCCTAGGGAAATTGGCTTCACTTCATTCATTTTAGCCATGAGCTGTCCTTGCAAGCATCGTCTTCTATTGAATTGAATGTATATCGCTTTTGTGCCAACCTTCTTTTGAGCCTAAATATCATATTCAGACCCCTATTAAATAAGCAAAGAAAGACTTGCGGTAAGAAGCATCCAATCCATATTCCTAAAAGCTTAGTAAGGAAGTCGCATACGACAACGCTAAAGGTTTTCTTCCTAAATGTTAACTACGAATGGCTAGATAGAGTCGAGTGAAGCTTGAATAAGCTAATAACATCCATGGCATCATTGCAGCTTTAATCTCTTTCAGCAGTTCTGCTTACCCTCTTTCCACTTCCAGAGGGTCCTTCGTTATGAAATTAGGGTCTCGGTTGCACTTGGAAGAGTTAGGAATCCCCTGACGCATGCTACCAATGCTTCCGGAGGTAGGACTTTGGCAAAAGAAAGGGGAAGCCATGGAACTCATTTGCGATTCGGCGCATCATATACGAGAATAGCATTTTACAATTCCGCTAGACCAAGTCCTTCTCCGGTCTAAGGAAGATGTTATTATAGAAGTCTTGCTAAAGGAAAGAAAGTCCTATTCTCCATTCACTTCAAAGATGAAGAAGTATAGTCTTAGAGGGAGAAAGTCTTCACCGCCTAAACCTTTTTCCTCCTATGCGAGAATAGGGCCCTTTGCCGGCGAAACTCTTAACAATCTCCTTTGAAGTTATCTCCCCAGTATGGAGCCGCCTCTTCACCCGCGCTGCCTTTTCCTACTCTTATTGGGCTACCTACCACGGATTTGAAGTCCGATGATTCGACTCTCTACTACGGATCCCCGGGTAAGACTCTTTGCGAGAACAGGCGCCTCTTTCTTTTTCTCCTTTCTACTAAAGGGTCGATCCGCATGCTTGCAAAGAGATTCCTTCTTTAGGAAGCAAGTAAGTGGACGTTGGCACTGTCAAGCAATAATCTTTATCACAATCTTTTATTTATGCATGCCCATTTGAGTGTGTGTCATAAATAGTGGTGCACCTGCAAGCACCCTCACGTAGCTCATCAGTCGTTGGAGCCTACCCAGCAAAGGCACCCGATGATTAGCAGATTAAGCTTGCAATTCTAACTAAGAGTCACTAAGAATCAGAAAATAAATCCAAAATAATAGTTTCACTTGCAAGGCCAAGAAGGGTTTTTAAAAGTGTATCCACCCTGGAGGAAGCGGTGCCCACAGTAGAGGTAGGTTCTATCTACTACTGCTCCGTGGGCTTCTACTGCCCTTCCACCACTTCTAGCCGGGGTCCCATTTGCTGCTCAAAGGGGTGAACGAAGCGCAACCTGGATCTACTATTTATCTTATTGATGACCAAGTCCCAAGTATGCTCCACCAGAGGAAGATTCCTAATTCGTGGAGACCCTGAGTCAACTACGAAAGAACTGAAAGCCGGTTTGATGGAGGGGATTCAACAAGGGGTTCGGCCTCTCTTCTTGCCTCAGAATCTCCCTAATTAATAGATAGAAAAGAAAGCGCATCCCCCACACAAGCACCTTCGACTCATTGCGCTACGAGGGCTTCTTCTGGCTTTCTTCTTTATTCCGTAGGACCGGGGAGTGCCTTGCGTTCTTTGGTTTTGCCCCAGGTGAGGGCTTATTAGTTCATATATTGACTTCGAGGCGCTATTTAGCCCTATATAGTAAAGATTTCACGCATCGTTCTTACACTTCTTTCACGCATTGTTCAGCAAGATTCTCTGGTATAGGCCAATGTTGAATGTTGATTGTTATTTCCAAGGTCCAATGTGGTAAGTGCTGTGCACCTGCCAAGCTCAGTTGGGATTCTTCCTTCAAGATGATTTGAATTCAAGTTAAGCACAGAAAGAGTTGTAAGATTTCCAACCTCTTTAGGTATAGTGCCTATCAACTGATTGGACCCGCTGAAGTCTCTCTTTGAAAAGCCAGCCCTCGCGGGCCGTACAGCAAGGTGGCAGATGTTACTCTCAGAGTTCGATATTGTGTACGTCACCCAGAAGCCCTAAATGAGTAAGGCAAGGGGCAGGCAATAGCAGACCACCTAACGCACAAGCGAAGCGCCTTAGCAACAAATCCACGATTACGCGTCCAGAACCGGAATACGACCATGGATGACACGCCAAAGCAAGTCCAATCTATTTCCTGGATGCGTGATGTAATTGCCCAATCTTTGAATAATATCGTATAGTGATCAAGTAGAAGTATCCATGCTTTATCGGCGAAAGGTGTAGAGGCGGAAAAGAAATTCATTTGAATAGTCCCCACCTTCAGTCGATCAAAAGGACCCAAAGAGATACCACTCGTATAAAGAAAAGTCCAAGTGAAATGCCTTTCTGCAAGTAAAGGTGGATTTCATGAAGGGTGAGGCTCCTAGCAATGGGAGGAAGGGGAGGGGGAAAGGGAAAGGACAAACTCGAAGGCATTTTCACCTACCGTAGTTGAGAGTTTGTCAGCGTAGGGAATTTATCATAAAATAAGATGAAGGCACTAGAAAGCGTCAGCAAGTCTTTCTCGATCTTAAAGCGCTAAGATGGATCCCAGGCAGGAAGCGTCGGTCAAGTCATTAGCTCCTACCTAGACAGGGGAGAAGATAGCCGCCACTAATCTCTGAGTAAGAGCTCATCCTAATAAGGGTGCTTGCAGGTAAGACCACTCTTTCTATTGGAATTGTCATGGTCTATCGAGCCTTTCTTCGATGTGATTTGATTCTAGAAGATGAGCTTGCTCGGATCCTTTTCGGTAGCTAGAAGCTTTCCCATAAAAAGAAGTAGTAACCCCGTATCGATAGACGTACGTTCCCCCAACAGTGTGAAAAGAAAGGCTCGAGAGGCCTCTACCTGGGAGCTAAGCGCCATCTCCCGAAACCAGTTCATGGGGTTCTTCCCCCCAGACTTCCTTTCTTTTCTATCTATTAATAATGCAATAGAATGGATCTCAAAGAACTGCGACCCCTACCTCTCTCTGATTCACCTCCCTTTGCCCATTGTTCTCAGTCGAAGGCCCAGCAACTTTTCTCTCTTATGTAAAGCGAACCCCTATCCCTATAGAGAGGGGGGATCATTCCCAGGACGTTTCAGAAGGAAGAAACTCGTAAAGGTAGAATCTCATATTTGCTCATTAGCAAGGGGTTTAGATCGAATTTAGATATAGGAAATAATATGAAATTACATAACACCTCGATTAACTAAGAACTGGGAAGAATACGTAAGAAGAAGAAATGCCCACAAGCTAGCAGGGTTTCGGGGGATAAGGAACCCAGCGTAGACAAAGGAAGAAGCATAGTATTTCCGGAAGGAGGAAGCTTGAATTTAGCGCTAATCCGCCTCGGGGAAGCTCCTCGACTCCTTGAATGAATTAGGAAGGAAAACAAGAACCTACGTACCTCTCCTGAAGTTAATGAAGAAGGAGAAACTTCAGCCTTTGAATCCATTTGACTTTGTCTTCTCTCACACGCCTCTCCCCAATTCCCTTCATTCCATCCAACCTGCCTTCTCCTTCTGAATGAACTTAGGTCTCCGAGCCCGTTGAGCTTGGGAGCAGCTAAACCTCGCTTGATAATGGAAATAGCTTACCTTCCCCTTGTCCGGGTGTGCCCTTTCTCAATATCAATTATAAGTCAGAGTGATGGCTAATAGTTTTGAGAACAATGTAAGACCAAAGGAAGAAGTCGAAGGACTTGAGCCGCTTATACGGGAGTTCGCAAAGGTCCTACACACCAAGGTAATTGAGACTTCTTTAATGAAACTACTCTCCTGTCTGATCTAAAGGCGGGAATTGAATCATCTTATAGTAAGATGAAGCATCTCATTCTACGAGAACTCCCTAAGCCAGCCTCCACTAGTTCTTTGAAAGTCCTTTGCCTTTCTTCTCATATATGCAAATTCATACCTCACTGACGAGCTCGAGAAGAGGCAAAAGAAGAATACGTCGTAAGAGTAAGCCTTCGTCCTTGGTCCTTATTGCTTGTAGAGGACTTGATCCTATTGGGATAGCGGAATCGATGCTTGAACCCGAGGAAGAAGAACTGTTTAGGAGATCAAGAATTGCTTTCGCTGAGCCAATTGATACTTGGGCTGAATCTACACAGGCATAAACCGACGACCAGGAAGGGAAAAGCCAATCTACTTTCACCAAAGGCTGGCCAAACTGGCAATTACTGGATCTACGAATCCAATTGAGAATCAATGAGCGGGTGCAAAGGCTGCTCTTTTGGATGAAACTATGGCAGCATAGTAATGCTAAGTAGGCTGCTTCTGGCGTCCTATGCTTTTACAGCTTAGCCAACTCAATCCCTATAGTCGAGAAAGATCTGTCACAATGATACGCTTAAGACATGCTTAAAACATGGGCTTCCTTCCTTCTTTTAGTATGGACCGGGTGACTGAAGCCGAGAAGCTAAGCCCCGCTGAAGAGGGAATCGTAAATCAATCCGAACTCCTAAGCTCTTAGTTTTCTGCTAAGCTTTTAGAGTCGAATGCACTCCTGCCCCAGTAATCTAAATAATGTCAGGGGAAGGATTTTCATTGTCATTCAAGGGCGAAGAAGAAAGCAAGGATTTGTAAGTTCATCGAAAGTCCTCTGCGAATCAACTAAAGAGCTAGCCTACTTTCGTCTAACTTGAATCTCTTTCGGAAGATAGGACCAAGCTCTACGAAGAGTGGAAGGATCCTATTTCACTCTAAGAAGGAAGGCACTCGCATAAGAAAGGGGGCGAATCCTGAAACTATGCTTACTAGCGGGTATTAGGGAGGCCGGTCTTAGTCGCTTTAGAATGGGCTTTCTCTATTGATTCAATCGATGTAGAAATAGTGTAAGTAAAGGGCACGCGTACGACGAGAAGGATTCGATCAATCAGCTTTGGAATTGCTTGAGCGAATTTCGGATTTTACATATTTTCCTACCCCTTCTCCGGTGTCATATTTATGTACCATATGTAGCGTGCATAAGTGTGTAGACCATAGAGTACTGCTAATTTATCTTGTCTCTGCTCTTGGATCCATACTCAACGTAAGCTATGAGAGGCCTTCGCACTAGCAGCTTTCACGTGGCGAGAGGGTACAAACTTTTCGAAGCGAAGTGAAGGAAAGGTGTAATTGACCTAGCAGTACATATTGATTCTATTTTATAAAGACCTAAAGTTAGGGATTTCTTTCTCAATCGGTAATGTTGCTCCAATACCCAACCAAAGGGCCACTGCAGTACCAATCCAATTGGATTCATACATGATCGATCGAATAGATTCATCTTACTACTTGACTTTAGACTTCCCCATCGCCTACTTTATGGATAGAATGCACGCTTTACTCTTTAGGAGGCATCCGCCCCAGATAAACTACCCACCTCGCAGTGTCCCGCCTCCCCCCGAATGATCGGTGCGGCAGTTAGGCATCCTTAGACGGTCAGTAAGTAGGATTTGAACAACACGTTGGAGAAAGAAGGGTGGGTCACGCTAAGAGAAGAAGAGAGCCTACTCGATGATGAAGCTGCTGAAGAGGCATACGTAATATGGTTTGAATCTGCCGGATCTTCTACTTGTGTCTATGACACATGGTTAGTATGGTTTTTAGCTTTTCCACTTACGAGAAGCGTATGAAAACTACCAAGACTGACGATTCGCAGAAAGGTCAATTATATCGATCCTAACCTAACTAAGAGTTCCGTGTCACCCCGTATCCTTCTGAGTCTAGCTGAGAGCTTGACCCCCTGGTTACTGGGCACTAACCCGGATACTTATCTTCAAGTTCCTAAACCAGATTCTTTGCTTGATTCTTATTCGGCTGCAGCTGTTAACCCCCGAAACCTCTTAGTCTGACTTCCCGTCCTCTACTAATACTAATCAGTTCAAAACGACTTTCTTTTCAGAGCTCCGCCTACTAATTAGTGATTTTGATATGTGCACGGGGATTAGAACCTTCCTACATAATATTCTTGCTTCCATGCGGAGGAGTTTCAGATTGACTAACTAGGATAAACCCGAACCTCTTGTTCAAGGGGTTTGGGTACTCACTCGTTAAGAGTAGTTTACGTGGGAGAAACCCGAAGCCGATAGCTCCATCGTACCTATTTGATTAGGAATATACTCAAGCTGATTCATCATCCTAAACAGAAGAAGACGAAGTGATATAAGAAGCCTAAGAAGAGTGAACCTTCCATGCATATAGAACTCAAAAGCAACTAGGCAATCCAAGTAGCTACACCGGCTACGAAGCTTATATCGTTCGTGCTTGACGACTAGTCAATCACTCTCTTCATAGGATTGGAATAATTCTCTAGCTTGGGTATATCCTCTAAAGGGTGCCTTTAATGTGGGTGTATTTGCCAAGATCGAAACTTGTAGCGAAACTAGGAAGAAGGAGAAGGCTGAACCCAGGTGCTACACTACAGTAGAAGCTTTGACAGTTTACCATGGCTTTCTTTATGTTATAGTTGTCATGCTAAAGCTGTTGATAGCTACTTCGGTTGACGAGCTAAGTAGAAAGACTTTCTGGATTCATCCACAACTGATGGTGCTTGCTTTAGGTTGATCTGATCCCTAGTTCGGATTCGGAAAGGCTCTGACTCCGGGTAGGTTCCCGGCTTGTGCCCCTAGCTAGTAGGTAGGTGAAAGCACTTTTGGCAATGACTTTTCGAAATTTCTAGAACAGGGAGGCGTTTAGTTCCTTTGGTTTGGAAGCGAGACAGATGTTGGTCAATTATATCGAACCTCGTAATTACAACAATCAGAACGATGGGAATAAGAAACCTCTTCGCCAGTTCACTCCGTTGAAGCCTACCTTTGAGCCAGATCTATCCGTTGCTTGTTCCGATTCCTAATATGCCTATTCAGATTCAAGTTTCTGGTCTTGCTTGTGCCTCTTGGCTATTACGCTTTTTGGCCACTCTTTGCCTTCTCTCACCAGTAATTTTCTTTGGTTGTGTGGTTAACAGCTGAGGAGGTATACCCGGGACAAAGATTTGATCCTGGGGTGACCAAATGTGGCTTAGCCGATCTTATTACTAAGGAAAAGAAGATAGGGAAATGGAACTAGACCTGGAAAGGAACTTCAATCAATCAAACTAAAACATTCCTCTCCTCTCCTTTTAGTCGAGATCTTTGAACCTCGGATTTATAGTCGAGCATCTTCAAACCTTTCTTCGTCTATTCTTCATAAGAAATTCAATAAGTGTTGTCAGAATGGATTTATTCGATATTGAAAAGATCAATAAGGAAATGGCCCTGCTCGCCTGTACCATCAATGGATCTATCTACAATCATAGGTTATTTGACGAATCCATTGTGGCTATTTGATTGAGTTCTTTTCTCTCGATCGTCGGAGAGAACTTGATCAGAAAGAGAATCTCTCCGTCTGCCCCGCTTCAACAACAAGAAATATAGGTTTAGCGCGTCGCCCTACTTTTGACTTCGTGGAGCTGCTTTGTTGTGTTCTTTACTCGCCTGGGGCATCGTTCTCGCGGGATATCATTGTCTTTTACCGTTCAGAGACGGCTCCGTCACCTTCTTCATGCGAAAGACTGGCCTTCTTCTCTTATGCTATTATTTCGGGGAGGCTTCTTGTTGACTTATAAAGTGATCATTCTTTCTAATTCTAGAGGTGGAGACCACCATATGCATGGGTAGACCTCTGAGATGAACCGGCGGGAGTGAGATAGGTGGTAGCAGCTCGGCTCTTTCAGACTCTTCGCTTAACAGCTCCGACTGCTTAATAGTCTCAAATAAGGCCCTTCTATGTCTTTTCATTCTTTTAAGCCATGTTTGAACTCTATTCTCCAACTCGAAACTCGATTTTCAAATAAGAAAATGGCTGATCTGTTTTCCCGGCCTGGTACCAACTCTCGACTTGATTGACGAAGAAGAAATCGGTGCGATCTCCGCTTCCCAAGGCCAGAGGTACGAATTGACTAACTAGCTTCTAAATTACATCTATTTTCTATGACTGAACTGCGCTTCGTTTGTTGGGCTCTTTGACTCCACCGCGCTAAGTTTTAAGCGAACTAGCCATTTTCGTGCATTTCAGGAAATGGCAGAAAGAAGGGCGGGATAGTCTTAGCCTATGGTTTTTGTGCTCGTAGTTCTTCCTTTATGACTTCACTTCGCTTCGCTTCGTTCTTTGGGTCGATGTAATCGACTGTAAGGAGAGGTTTGATGTAATTGACCTGTTCACGACTCAGCGCTTTGAAAGCCTAAACGTGGGTAGCATTTTCTTAGTGAGCGGTGTGACTTTTTCATCCATGCCTGGGATGGAGCTCTTTACTTGAAATCCTTATTAAGTAAAGAAGTCCTGTCACCCCAAGTAAGGGAGGAATGACGGCCGATTCAACCATCTACGCAATTGACCTCGTTCTCGTCCCGGACGCTTTGAGGCACCGGCACGACCAGCAAGATAGGGCGTACCCTAGAATCTTAGGGTTAAGCCCAAAGCATACCAGACTAACCCGGTAAAAGGGCAAGGGCGGAAGCCAACGTAATTGGTGAAGCGACGATGGGTAGACTAATAAAGCTGGTATACAGCTAGAAGAACTTTAACCAGATAAGCTTAGCGAGGTCTAAACCTTGGGTTGGGCATAGAAAGATTTACTACGACATAGGGCCGTGTTGGTCGGCGAGGCCTCAGCAATCATGATATTGAAGGATGGGACCTTTTCTCTAATATAGGATTATTCTCCTTTTGAAAAGGGGTCTTTCCCATATTCTTTTATTCTCCATACCGTTCCCGTGTATTCCTTGGTGTTCCTGCTAGTCGAATAGTTGTGACTCTGCATTTGTTTCGGATTACTTACATCACAAGGAAGGGTTGATAAGGTGACGCCCCACGTATGTTATCCCCTCCAGAGTGTGCACCCCCCCTCTGTATGCACATCTCTCCCCCTAGGAAGCCGGCAATTGGTCTGGAGCTAACCGTTATGCTTTCGATGCCCGCCTAATCCTGTATCAAAAGATGTAGGGTTGCCTCGCCTACCAATATCATAGAAGTGCTAGTTTTTTTTGGAGTGAGCTTTCTTCTTGAATCACTTCGGAAATGGAAGTTTTGTTGAGCTCACTGGCTTCCGTAAGGCGGAGTAAGCTTAACTGGAACTTCCGAGATTCCAGCGGGTTATCTAGAGCACCTGAGGTGGCAGCAGGAGAAGTAACAGAGGTCCAATCAAGCCAATCCACTAGGGCCGCTAAGGCGCGATGATAATTGCCCTGATTGTAGCGATCTCCCTAAGCATTGTCCTTACTCTACTCTTAACGCGTTGTCGCTTAGAATATTCTAGGCTGCCGACGATCTCGTCTTTTGAAGATAAAGCTTTTTAGGTTAAGGGTGGCCGTAAGCTTTTACTCATTCAAGAATAGGTGTTCATCTCTACACACTCGACCTGATGATCTTTTACTGCAGGACGTTCGTACCTAGTGATGAGCTTGACTGGTGCTCTAAGGCGAACGCGGTCTGATCTGGCCCGGCTCAACGTCTAGCTCCAAGATGAAAGTTTTAGTTTTGCCCCAACTTTAGAAGCGAAGTGAAGGAAAAAAGAGATGTAGTAGATCCAATAGAACGAGAAATTCTTAGCCCAGGACTTTTCTGTGTGTTTTTGTATCAAGGATAGAGGTTCGATGAAATTGAGACTGAAAGGAGAGGTTTGATGTAATTGACCTTAACAAAGTAAGCAAATTACCTTTAAAGCGATAGAAAGAGGCGAATCGAATATTGAAAGATTACGGGAACCGGAAATACGTCAAGGAAAGGGGCAGTTTCGAAAATACATGATCAGTGGTTTCGACCATATTACCACAGTGATTACAGTTCTCCTCCAATGCTCAATTTCATCGATCCTCCTCATGGAATTAGTCTTTCACTTTACCTGCACCAAATTCCATAAGAAGAAGCGCACCCTTTCGGGGGCATCGCAG